TCTCTGCAGGGAGCTGCGAAAGGGTCTGGCTCCTCTGCGGCCACTGAAATTCCTCCGTTTTCTCCGGCTCCTTCGGAGGAGGCTCTGGCTCCGTTTCTGGTCTGTCAGGCTCTTCGGTCACCAGAATCTCTGGGACCTGGATGTTGGGCTGCCGTACCAGCTTGGGCTGCAGGGAGTGAGGCGGTCGGCTGTGCTGGGGGGTCGGCTGAGATGAGTTCTGGGACAAGGGCTTGTCTTCTCCTTCTAAGCTGCTCGCCTGCTCTATGGAGTCAGACTTCTCGAAGGAGCTCGTATGCTGGATGACAGAGATCTCCTTGGAGGTTGTTCTCCTCTCTTTGCCCTCCGCGCTCGACGCCGGTTTGGTGTTCCTGGAATGAAAGCTGGCGCTGACGTCAGAAGGTGCGGATTTACTCGGATCTGCTGGTGACTTAACTGACTCACGGGTTAGGTTTAAAGCGACGTCAGATGATGCCGGGTTTGCAAACTGAGCGCCTGGCCCAGCACTGGAGGAGGGAGCGTTGGACAACTCGAAAGCTGGAGGCTCCTCGTCGTCACCAAGACTCTTTTCCTTCCGTCTTTTCCGGAGCGGGGTGAGCTCCAAACTGCTGCCCAGCTTGTAATGCATCATCTGGGGCCACGTGTCAGGCTCCGCAACGCTTTTCTCAGCCTCTGACGAGGTATGGGAAGTGGAAGAACGAGGCTTGGAGAGCTGCAGTTCTGAGCAGTAGTATTTCTTATGGGCTTCATAATTGTCCCTTTTCTTATATCGAGCACCACACACGTTACACTCGTACATGAACCCTTTAACTTTCGGACCCTTCCGTGACTTTTTGGTAAGATCGCTTTCCTTGGTTTCAGGCTCCTCGGGAGGTTTGGAAACAGTTTCTTTGTTCGCAGAGCTAACGTCCTCCGTGACGTATTCTACTCCCAAAGGTAGCTCAATAGCTGGTTGTCGTTTGAGCATTCGAGGATGGGAAGAAAATGCTTGACTGCGGCTTAAGACTTCAGGCTCCATGATGTGATCATCAAAGGAATAGCTACCTCTAAAGGTGTGTGGGGAGCTTATAGTGCATGCAGCAGAAGGCATTGAGTGGCTTCTTAGGAGAGGCACTGTCTCTGTGGCACTGTGGGATTGCTGAAGTGACAACAATGATTGTTCAGGCTTAATTTTTTCACTGTGGGATGTCAACACTTTCGATGCATCCAACTGGCTACTGGAACCAGACTTGATATCAAACTGAAACGGTTCTCTATATACACCAGACTTTGGAGATTCAATGCTGCTACGTCTAGATAAAGAGCTTCTTCTAGGCTTAACACTATCTATTTCACTGGTATCTACGACAGCTTCATTAATCGTAATTAGCTTAGTGATGTGTTCAATAACCTGTGTTCTAGGCACAGATAATGGTACCATGCTAGGTTTCTCTTCGGTAGACAGGTGCGGAAACCCCTGGGTCGTGTTTGCGGCTAACGCCGCAGTCCTTTGCCCAATTCTACCACATTTCCCAAAAATAATTTCCGCGTAAGATTTTGCGTTGGTATTTGGCGGGCTGATCTGCTGCTCTGCACTTTCCGACCTGGAGAAGTAGCCGGACTCGGTACTCCCTTTGCTCCCGGGGCTCAAGAAAGCTTGTTCGTCGATGACTTTCTTCCGTTCGCTTAAGCGGAGTGCGAGCTTTTGCTTTATGGTATGGGTATCTTCGGATTTATGGCTCAGAGCCTGTTCTGACGAGGGCTCCGCAAACTGGGTGCTGTCCTCAAGAGACTGGGACATACTGGAATGAGACAAGGAACACCGGTCGTGGCTGGAGCCTTGGCTCCCTCCACTCAGCAAGCTACTGGACAACAGGGTGTGCTTCTGCCTGGGCGAGAGCTCAACCGAGTGGCCCGACATCGCGCCCGTTTCCTCCTCCGAATCTGTGCTTTCCCCTTCCGTGGGCTCTTCGAAGTCCTCGCCACCGATCCTCTCCATCTCCAGGCTCGACGGATACATCTCCGCTCCGATCCCTGAGGCCAGCCCAGCTTTGATCCGATGAGCGTGAGATTTTCGATGCTTGTACAAATTGCTCTTCGTCTTAAAAGAAAAGCCACATGGAATGCAAGGGTACGGCCTCTCGCCCGTGTGCGACCTGATATGTTTTTGGAGCACGCTCGGCTTCGCGCAAGGCCTGCTGCAGTACTGGCAAATGTATTTGCCCGGCTTCTGAGGTTTCTTTTCCTTCTTGTGCACTTCCTCGGCTTGTTTTAAGGAAACCTGCGAAGGGCGAGGGATGTAGACCTTTTGAACGGACGGCATGTCCTCTCCGGGAATGATCGGCGAATGGGAAGGTAGGAGCTGGCCGTGGTGAGAGTGAAGCCCGGGCGAGGAAAAGGAGCCAGAGGGACCTGGTCGTACCGGATCGACTAGCTGCCACGTGGGACCTTCGAGGACATGCTCCGGTTTCCCAGGAGACATAAATGCTGGTGACAGTGCGTGCTGCTGAAGCTGCGAGACGTGGGGAGGGTGCTCGAAAGAGGAAGGCTTAGGTTGCTTCTGATGTCCAGTCTTCTCCTGAGACTCCTCTCTGGGAATCGGCAAAGAACCAGAAAAGTGCTGCTGCGATATGATATCTCGGAGAGGGGTTCCTTGCGAAGGAGCGGAGCTGCCCTGGTACGTAGCTGCGGATGAAATACTAGCTTGGAAAGCCTCTCCTTTGGGAAGCCTCTTTCTTGGACTTTCCTCAGCCTTTTTTGTGCTCTTCTGGCTTTGTTCAGGATCCATGACCTTAAAAGGGTCTTTGAATGCTATTTCGGGAAGGTTTTGGCAGGCTTCATTTACGAATAATAAAGGTCTCTTCTGTAGATTCCCTGTTTTGCCTGCATTTGCTACGAAGCCGGAGCCGCCGGGAGATGGTTGTTGATTTAAGATTTTACTAAAGTGTCACTAGTTGCTATTTGATTCAAAAAAAAAATGTTTCAAGGTCAATAAAGTTCACATTGGTAACACATGACAAACTACTTCAAAGAGAGAAAACTTTCCAAAACTTTTAGTCCAAATATTTTCCTTGTGAACTTGGTTAAGGCTTTAAACCTTGCCATTTTATTTCAGTTGACAGTGGCAAGCCTTCAAAGTCAAGATGCAACCCACAATGTGTCTCTTGTTTGTTATGCAAACCTTTGAAAACTTGAGACTTTAGTGCTCATCTCAATAATGATCTTTTTTTTCCTGCGCAAGGAAAATAACACTGAACGGTGTAGTCCCCCTGTGTCTTCCTTCTGTTCCACTTTTGAGTTCAAAAGCCTTGGAAAAGATTTTCCCACATTTCTGTAATTGCATCCAAAAAGAAAACAAACAGAAAAAAAAAAGAAATTACTTCAGCATTTGTATTTAAGTAATTAAATGCTGCTACTTCTGTAGAGGATAAAAGTAAATGTTTTGCACAAAAGTCAATCAGAATAACTCATTCAATGTCTACCATTCACGAGACATCACTTTTAACGGTAATCTAAACAGAAATTGCACCAAGCCAAACCTCAGGGACTCATCCTCTGTTTAATGCACAACATAACCTGGCTCTGTAGCAGTAACCAAAGATGGTAACTCGAAGCACAGTCAGTCTCAAAAAATGTATCAAAAACGGTTTCAAACTTGAATTCCTTCTAATCTCCTGCAAACATTTATGGGTTTACGATTTTTGTAATTATATTTCCCTGCCAACCCACACTACGCGGTAAAGCTGGCTAAATGCAAAGCACTGCGGAGCGTAGCACACGCGTTCGCTGACAAATAAAAAGCTCATCTTTCCTGCACAAAATCTGCTCTTAAGGCTTACAAATCACCTTCAGTGTCGTTCGCAACAATAGCAGGTAAAGAGAAAGCACACGCACACGCTTTTACTGAAATGCTGCCTCTTTAATTTCCTGCCTTTTGTTACCCCACAATGGTGCAAAGCCAAGCGCTATAGCACGCACAGATTTCATACAGGCGGGACGTGGAAATTGGCCGTCTCTGAAGGGGAACCCTTCTCACAATGGATTTGAATGGGAAGCTCTATTAAACCTACCGCCCTTGTCAGCAAATACAGCTATTAACGAGACAGGAAGGAAGGAAAGGCTCTGATTCCCCAGAAATAAGGCAGCGTCGCCAACAGATGGGACAGCAAATGGGTGGGATACTCCAAAGGAAAATAAGGACAGTGCTTTTTAAGTGAGGCAAATGGACACGTGTAATTTATAACGAGAAAAGGACCATCTTCCTTCTTTATGGAGCTATTATCTGCCTTAAAGTGCAGTGCCTCGCGACGACAGAATTGTATTGGATTAATTATGGGAAACCGCTCGCAGCCCTGCTGCTCTGATCCTGCCCCACGTTGGTGGAGAGTGCACGGATGGGGCTGAAGTGGAAACCCAGCTAAACCGGGAGGCACAGGGGACTGGGATTTACGCTGCACAATGTCCCGACTTCAGCTTGAGAAGAAACACTGAAGAGCCAGCAGGAGAGGTTGGCTGTGTCCATCACGAAGACCTTTCAAGAATTACCCACTCCTCAGTCATCCTTACATCCCCGTGGACTCCCCACAATCGATGCGAAAAGAGAGATGCAGAGTGTGAGGTAGCTCAGTTTAATTCAGCAGAGTCTAAACATATGATAACACCCTAGGGCACATCATGACCAAGACTTTACAGAAGTGGCTAAACCCATCTATTCTTTGAACAGGACTGATTTGACCTCACCTTAGATGGTCAAAAGTCAGGGTTCAAGTCCTTAGACACAACTCCCTATACGATCACTGAGAGAGGTGAGTGCCAATGAGGGACCCAAGGCATCTCACGTTAAGGTCTCAGATCAGTGACGTTGATTGCCCTGAGATGTCACCACTTAAAGACTGGATTAGTGGCTTACTTGGCCGGCTGTGACACCCACATCTTAGGTAAATGTACAGAAAGTCAGTCCCATCCTTAAATTTCACCTCCCTTTTCCCCAAATACAGGTTCTGCTCTCCTCCAGCATGAGCTTTGCATCTTCCCAAGACCTGCAGAGCACCCGCGCTTGCCCCAGCTTGCTAAGAAAGGTGCCTCGTGTTTATGGGCTCATCGCTATGAGGAGTAATTAATTACATTTTGAACCCCCTTTTTAGAGAGTGCTGGCTCCTCGATGCTGACTAACACCAACCATGGTCTGGGCTAGATTTAGAGCGCTGTACTTACAGCACGGGGCTTACTCAAGATCAAACACAGCTGCCGAGCTGATTTATCACGTTGATTTTTGCCCAAGTTGCTGTTCCTTGCACAGAGCATATTAACTTGGGAGAACTGGATTTAAGCAGAGACTTCTTCAGCAAGCACATTGCCTCCCACGAGCTCAAGCACTCACGCTGAAGAACTGCCAACTCAAGAACGCCTGAAAAACATGTTAAGACTGTGTTTTCTCCTATAGGCTCCATATCCACTCCTAAGTGTATAATAATAAAGGTTGTGAGGAGCTTCCTGAGATGATTCAGTATCAACCCAAATGTTCCGTCCATCCTCGGCCCCCTCTGATGAACACATGGGCGCCAGCTGATTTTGTTGGGAACTCTGCACAAACGGTAACGTTCAAAGAATGGGTCAACAAACAAGCACACCTGCTGCCTACAGCAGCGAGCCCGGCCATTCTGGGGCAATTCAGGCTACTTTCTACATATTTTTTCCATTACTGGAAGTGGCCCCTGGAATGGCAATGGCAGAAGATAATTCTCCTAGCTGGACACAGTTATTCCGAGATTGAGACCTCCTCAAGGAAAATGCAACAATGCAAAACCAAGTGGCAGAAAAAAAGCAAAGTCCACCCAGATACAAACTGTAGGAAGGCTTCTCCTCTATGAACTTACAGGCATGGTAGAGGAAGGTGTTGCAGACACCTAACACTGCTCTACCCAGATACAACCTATAGTAGCTATGTCACATCATAGAAGAGATCTTGCTCCTGCAGTGGGCAGGGAGGAGAGGGCTGTCACAGGTCAGAGCTGCTCCTGCAAACGCGATGAGACTACCTCAGGTGGGAAAACCTACTTTTTTTTTTTCCTCCTTCATTTTCCCTCCAGTTTTTATTCTCTCTACCTCAGGCAAAAATCTATTGTCAGACTTCAGCCTGTTAACATTCATTACACTTTCCAAGTTCTGTTTTCTTTCTCAGAAAAGGCACATCTTTTGCTTTTACTTTCATCTCCTCCTCCTCATGACCTGAGTAGCTTCTCCTGTGTTCTGCCTCTACTCTTTTCCCTTACCGCTTTCCCTAAGCACGTGTCGTTCTTGCACCGCGCTCTCTGCAGAACAGCCCGGTGGCGGGGGACATCTTTAAGAAAAAATATCACGTGGGCTTTATGGCACATGGTTTCCAGCTGCTAACACTGGACGTCTGCGGCCAAATCCAAAGTACAGGCACTAAAAGCAGGGATTCCAGCTATTATTTCTGCTCGGACATCATTTCTTAGGGTTGTGCTTGAAATTGCAATGGAGGGAACATGGGCTGCTTCATTCGTAATGAGGGAAACAAAGCCTGCCCCCCTCCTGAAAGAAATCAGTGACAAAATTCCTTCTGATTTCAACGGGGCCAGAGTTTTCCCCTAAAGTATGAGATAAAATGTTTGAAAGCGCTCTTTCAGAAAGTCACAATTGTTGGTGTTTTGAATCACCTTACTATGGCTGAAATGAATTGCCACGAAGAGACCCAGGCACACTGTCCCTCCCAATTCTAAACCTCACCTAAGTCCTCCTAAAGGGTTGGAGGACAAGTTGACCCATGTCAAGCCTCTGTGTCTAGGACTAGCACCACATTTAAGCAGTCATACACCCAGACAAGCTCTTTACCATTGGTTTGGGGACTGGGATTTGCCTCCAACTGCACCTGACACCTGAACTCCAGGTGGGAACGTCCCTGAGAACACACGTGAAGGTATCAAGCCTTCCTCTATGTTGTGGTTGGCCTCCAGAATTCACTCCTTGGATGTGATGTGTGGAACCCTGCAGCGCTTGGCTTTCTGTCGCTTGCCTTTTGTTTCCAGGACACTCAACAGTGGATCCTCAAAAGCCTGTTGGTGGCAGAACTCTGGTGTTTGCAATGCTCAAGCAGACGGAAGGATTTTCTCTACTGTCTGGTCCTGCCCCAGCCAGATCAAGATCCAGTGGGATTACTGGGAAGCTATGACAACTCTGCCTTTTCTATGCTGTTCCAACCATATTGTACACCCCATTTTAGCCTGTTTCTAAGGATGCCAGGCTTAGGTGACAATGTCTGGTGTGCTAATAGGAAATCTGTCTGTTTATTCCTCGTGATAACTTTTAAGCCATTTGGCCAATCTGAATCAAATTCAAGCAACGACCAACATATTTGACATATATTAAATATATTCTGAAGCTTCTCGAGTTTTGTGCAAGTGAATTAGGCAAAGCACAAGCTCTCAGACAGGTACAGCTCCCCTCTTGCTGGCAGCCACGAAAATCTCCTAGCAATGGAAAAGCCACATTCAGCATCCACCCCTTTCTAATCTACAGACAAATCAACCTGGAGAGACACACCTGGGGGAAACCAGATCCCTTTTTGTCAGTAGCTCATCGTGTTCCTCAATTCTTACAAAATCTCTGCAAGTCTACGCTTTAGAAAAGCAGATTAGGTGACGGGCAAAGTGCAGGGTGGTAGGGAATTCTGCTGCCTGGAGATCGTGGTCTTTGCAACCAGATCCCAACTGGAGCTTTGTGCAAAAGGGCAGATGCCACCTTCAACATTCAAAGCGATTTACGACG